CATTTGAGTGTCTTCAGCTACTCAATGAAACACTGAGAACTGTTTCATCGTCCACTTATAGGCACGTTTAGTGTTTGATCACTCAAAGAAGCAGAATCTATCGATGCTGCAGCTTGTTCACTAAGTCAGAATAGGTCTTTTTTAGGTTCATCTCTGTATCCCAGCATCATCAGGAACACACACACTCTCAGGAGTAAAGTTAGCATCTCTGGGTGTACTGGTTAGACAAAATGCTATTACTGGATATATGCTGTGAAGCTTTGATATAGTGAAACAAAATGAATAAAGTTCTGCTTCTTATGCTGTTTTTACTACCGTGTTTAAAGGGATTTTTGTTTTTTACAGTTTCTGTTCTGTGCGAATACATTTCAGTTTTCCTGCCAAATGTTTTCAGTGTTATAAATGAAAACCTTTGGAGGAGATTTTTATTTTGTGTTCAACATGGGATTTAATGATGACTTTGAGGGACTTTGCATGATTTTGTAATTGCCCCCCATGTTCTGACTCTGTTTATTGAAAAACAAATCTGAATTTCTTTTCGTAAAGCATATTTTCTCAAAAGCAAAAATAAGCTAGCAATGTTCAATTAGATATTAATGAGACCACTCACCTAATTTAGTAAATATGTTTACTAAAATGCTAGAATTGATACTATATTTTGTTTATGATGCACAACATGTAGGGCAGATTAGACAAGGACAACAGAAACTAGTATTTTTTAATCCATAATATTTATTTACCACAATAAAATGAATTTCTATTCTGCATTGAACTAGTCAGCTGCTGTATGGAGAAAAAATGATGCAGCTTTTAAACTTTAATCTATTTTTTATTTTTTTTTTTTGATGGCTGATCTTCAGTCTGTCTTCCTGCCCCCTCTTCAGACTGCCCTACTTTTCATTTGACTAACACTGCCTGGTGTGCTAACATGGCTATTTGGATAGCCCGAACAATCTTGAATTAAACTGTAAATGTAAGTATTAACACCTTGACGTAGACTGTTTTTTTTCAGAAACTTTGTGAGATTAAAATCAGTGCTATATTTATTCAATTCAGGTTCTGTGTGCATAAAGCCATGTACCCATGAGTATTTTTTTTAGTACCAAATTAAAATAAGCTAATGGAAATTACAATTACAAATAGCAGTTACAAGAAATTTTGATTTGCCCACATAAGCAATTTTGATTAACTCTAAATTTACTTAAAAGAGATGCACCTTTTTAGTTTCTGTTGTATGATCCACCTGGACCTACATGCAGCATCACTATTAATTGTATCTGAGATCTAACATCTGAGCCATATTAATAAACTTTGTTAAGAAAGTGTCAAATTATTTTGTTTACTGAGACCCATAATGTGTAATTATAGAACTGAAATCCCTTGTCAGAAATCGTAAAATCACATTTTTGATCTAATATCCCAAATATACACTTTTGCTATGTTGTTTAATTCACCTATGTTTCACCTAGAAATAAAGAAAGTTTTCAAATAATTGGATTTTGTATTTATTCAAGTTAGAACAGTAGACACAACCATGCAGAGCCAAAAACCTGATCCTGAATGTGGAGAAAATGAAGGAGATCATTGTTGACTTCAGGAAGAACTGGCCTTACCAGGCTTCACTGCTCATCAACAGCTCTGCTGTAGAGGTGATCAGCATCACTGAATTCCCGGGGATGCACATACAGAAAACATGACTTGGACTGTAAACACCACCCCACTGGTCAAAAGGGCACAAAAGCGCATGCACTTCCTGCAGAGAATAAAGATAGCTCACCTGCCCCCACCCATCCTCACAACCATCCAAAGAAGCATCATAGAGAGCATTCTGACCAGCTGTCTCACTGTGTGGTGTGGAGGCTGCAGCTCCTCAGACTGGAAGAAGGTGATAAGAGTGGTGAGAACAGCAGAGAAGATCATTGGGGCTCCTTTTCCCTACATAAAAGACATTTCATCTCAGTGCTGCTCCTCCCGAGCCGCTAACATTATCAATGACCCCTCACACCCCCACCAGACTGTTCTCCCTGTTGCCCTCTGGGAAGAGGCTTCCTAGCATTCAATGCAGGTCCGAAACAGCTTCTTCCCCACCGCCATCAGACAGCTGAATGTTGAAAAAACTCCAAATCAGCTCACAGATTCTGCATCAAACTAATCATATCAATACGGTTTTTTGCACCATGTTTTTGTCCCACAATGTTTACATTTGATCACTGCATCACTTCAACAAAATGGAAATGTCATGAGAGCTGTTCAAAAGGAAAATTAAATTTTTATACACTCTGTATACAAAATGACTAAATGTTGTCTTAGTCAGTTCTTTTGTTATTACATTTAATCTGGAGTTTAAAAAACATTTTAGTTTTCAAAAGATTAGATTATAGGTTTCATTTTCTGATTATGCGATATGGTTTACCTTAAGAATATTTGCTTTTCCAATAGTTTACTGATTCCTTTATGCAGATATGGTCTGATAATTAAATGAACTCTTTATAGTACGGTAAATATATTTGACGCTTTTAAAGAATAATTATCAAAAAAAATCTAAGGAATAAATTCAACTCATTATTAGGATATATCATATTATATAATTATATAAGATTATTAGGACACTTCATACTATAATCTTTTTTTGCAGTATTTGACCCGGCCCAAATAATAAACATATTCCGCCCATGAGTAAGGCTGAAAATCTAGTCCTCGTACTTCAGCTTCCCTTGTTTCCTGTTAAATCAAAATTAAAATTCAAACTTTATAACATATAAAGCCCTTAACAGATAAATTCAATCATACATCAGAGATGTACCGGTATTCGTGTTATGCTTCATCCTCGACCAGGTCGCAGGGGCAGCAGTCTCAGTATCAAAATTATTCCATATGCTAATAGCAGAACGATTAGCTCTCCATCCCTGCTGGTGGTTCCTGACATTTCTAAAATTAGACTTATTAGTTTTTGGGCTCTCCTGCGAAACCAACCTCCAGTTTTGGTCAGGCAGGCACCCTGTCTACTTAGGACGAGGCTTAGCACTTTTATTTTTGATAAGGCATATACTCTGACTTGCTCAATTCACTCTACTATACTTGTAGTTATGCTGCTATAGTCTTAGGCTGCAGGAGGATATAAATACCCCTTTTCCTCACTATAGTAAATATTACATTCTACTATTTCCAAATTTGCATTATTTGTTTGCTTCATCTTTGTGTTCTCTCTGCCTTTTCTCTTCATAACAGCTACATCTGGCTTGTTGCTCTCTGCCTACTGTAGCTCTATATATGCTTGAGCCGCCAGGAGCGGCCCCTTTTTTAACCTCTTTACATTGCCTGCAAGTACATTTTTAGGATTGATTTTAAAATAATTTTATTTGATTTAAAAGCTTTTAATGGCCTTGCCCTGCCCTACCTGTCCATGCTGCTACACCCCAACACTCCATCTCGTGTCCTTAGAACAGCTGACCAGTTGTTACAGAGGGTGCCAAAGACAAAACCCAAGGTCAGAGGAGACCATGCTTTTTCTAGCGCAGCTGCAAAGCAGTGGAATGACCTTGCCTTAGCCATTAGATAGGCTTCTTCACTTTCAGATTTTAAATTCCTCTCAATACCCATTTCTTTTCTTTGGTTTTTGACACAATCTGAGAATGATTTCTTTGTTTTACTGTTTTTTTTAATTTTTTTATTATCATTTCTTCATCATTACTTTATCTATTGTTTTATGACTGATTGGTTTTATGTTATGGTTTTGTTGCGTATATAGCATGTTGATTCTTTTGGGTAATTAAAGTGCTTTATAAATACATTTGGTATAGTATGCCTGGTGTGAGGAATTGCTGTAGAGTCAACAACACAATGACTAACTGTCTATTATAGCAAGATGCTCATCCTGTATGAGTGAATGACTTGACCAGTCTGTCTGTTTAATCTTATTGAACTGACTCTATAGAGTGCCTTGAGATGATGTGTTGTGAATTGGCACTATTTAAATAAACTGTATTAAATTTTTAAACAGATATAATCTTACTTTGTATTTTTTTCTCTAATCCACATAAATAATAAACATCTAACGGTTAAAATACATGTATAATGGTCATGGATAATTATCAGCTGGTACAATGGATACATTGTTGTTTATAGCAGAACTCATTGATAGCTGCTTCCTGGAGTGGATTCAGATTTTAAGCACCGTCCAAACATTTCTAATAGGTTAAACGTTGACATCTAGAAGCATCCGAATCAGTTTTCTCCAAGGTCCACCCATCTTGCACTAGATTTGTGACGAAGTGTAGGAACTTTGAAGTGGTCCTCTGTTTTACTACATTGACTTTGTGCAAATAAATCCATTTAGCAACTAAATAAAGCATCAGTGTAATGCATCCAGCTCAATGCTTGACAACTGGCACAATTATCTACTGAAAGTCTTGACACATTCATTTACACTGACCATAAAAATGTTGCCTGGTAGACATTCGGATTGTTGAGACTAGCTCCTGCAAATTTCCATCTGGTTTTTATTTTGTTAAATATTTTTCATTATGTGTTGACATTTTTATGTCACTGAGGGCTGTAAGAATAACATCTTAAGCTTCTTGATGGTTACAAAAAGCATGTGGTTAACTTACTAGGAGAACTTTTAACAAATATTGTTATTGGATTTATGTTTAAAGTTAATTAAGGTTAAGCCAGTATGTAGAATCCACATAATTTTAACACCTATGCACTATATTTAATTATTCAAAATGGTATAAAGTAAAGTTTAAGTGCTTCTCTTAAAGCCCTTAATGACTCAATGAGGTTCTCTATTTGGGGATATGTCAAATATTAACCACAAGGCGGCAGTAGAGAGCAACAGTTCACCTACCAGTTGAAATAGCGGAAAACTGAAGGTTTTACAAGCTTTTACAATTTATGTATCTTCAAATAGTTTGTATGAATAGTTTAATCTAGAGAAATAAAAAAATAAATAAAGGGTTTATCTGTATTAAAAAATACCAGCACTTCTAGGAGTTTTGAATTCATTTATTTAATCTGTCCTTTACTTGGAATTTCATTCCATGAGAGGCCATTGGCACCATCGACATGATTCAGCCTCCCTTCTGTAACATTTCATCCAAACATAGTACAAATGTTAATGCTGTAGATACTGTGCTTCCATAACACATCTAGAGAGCCATGAACAGTGCTGTAGTCTGAAAGGTCAGTCTGTGCAAAAATAGAGAACAGAAACATGCCCAAAGGAGAAGCGAAAGTTTGGGGTTTTAAATAAACCCATGCATTCAGAAAGGGACATGAAAAAATAAACATGTGACAACACCACTAAACAACTTGTGTTTATAAAAGTAGCCAGGAAATGTTTAGTTTGCACTCCCTCAAAGACAAACACAAAAGAAAATGTCCCTAAAAAATATCAAAAAGGATAAAAATTAGCTTTCTATACAGAGATTATAAAGTTGTGCAAAGTTTTGTTCAAATATTGTTTGAAGCATACCACACGAGTGAGCCTGAGTGATGTGGGTGTGTTCATGTGATCCCTTTAAAGACAGAATCTTTACCTGGTGAGTAAATCAGCAGCTGATCATTGTAGTGCAAATGTTCATATGCTAGTTTTTCTGTTTGTGTAATGTTTTACATGCTTTAGAACACTTAAATGTTAGTGTTCATATGTATACATAAGATGTATGAGTTCAGTGTAAGGCAGATCTGTTTTTAGGATTAAGCTTAGTGCCAGAGGATGCGGCTGTCCTGCTGCTGAAGTCTCTCAAAAACTCCATATGGAATGCACTGGTTCCACATCCTGGGATAAGATCAGACAAACCAAGTTAAGGACATGGAATAGAAAAAGATCTGTAAAAATTGAATTGTGTTTTTTTTTTTTCCATAATATGACTCACCTTAAAGTTTTAACTTTTTCACAGTTTTTCAAACTGGCTCCCAAGCTTTGTGCTCCAACATCTGTCATCTTGTTATATTTCACGCTGTCAAATGAAGACAAACGGGGAATTACAAAGGGAATTCATCAATATGGAAATTTTTACTTATGGACATCCTTTTAAGCGGGTATATATCTTATTTCATGTTATTGAAATTTTATAGGATAAACAAACACAAAGTAGAGATTACTGTACTTTTGAGGCAGAAAAAGAATAAAACATCTCGTATAAAATGAATTTGCCATTTTGAGCTCTGCAGATCTAAATGTGAATTCCATTCTTTTCCTTATGCGCAAAAAAGCTAAACCAGCAAATTTAATGGCAAATATTTGATCTCTTTTTGCTAGAATATAGGGAATTATTTGCGCTATTCTAACAGACTAGTTTTATTTAATTATAGGTTTATTGTGGAACATGAACCTAGAGAACATTCTCCAGTGGTTTGCAGCTGGGTTTGGTATTTGGTACCATCCACCCAGGGAGACACGTTTTGTAAGGCTTAGACACATGAAGGTCACCAATAGAACACTATCTGTTGCCGTACAGCATGTAAGCTAAAAAATTCATTTTCTTTTCTCATTTGACCAGAGCCTCCTTCTTCTAAGTGTTTGTTATGTCCCTTAAATTATTTGTGTTCAATTCAAACTAGTCTTCAATTTGTCCCACTCTATCATGGAGGCACAATTCATAGATTTGCAGCTCCTCCAGATTCACAATGTGTGTATTAAAGGTATAGAGGACCATCTTTTATTTCTGGGTGGATCATTTAAATAATTGGTCTTCCTAATTGTCGATCATTCTGCTTATATGTGTATGTAAGTCTATCCTATGTGCTTGTCCCGTTAACTATCTTTTTTTTTCAGGCGTATATCTGTGGTGAGCTACAGTTTCAGACAGTTATTGAAGCTCACCTTTCTTACCGAGGTTTTTGGAAAAAGGCAAAGGTTTGTAAGAGAAAAAGTGTATGAGAAGAAAAGAAAGGTCTCAGAAGAGGCAGATATATTCTGGAATGCTTTGCGCGGAGAGCTCTCCTTGCAAAGCATTATGGGATTTGCTGTCACAGTGGCCCGTTGTCGTCATAGGCTGTGTCTACCCAACAGCTGGACTAATAATAAAGATGGTGCAGGGACCGCAGGCATCTCCTTTAAAGGGGTGATAGAATGATTATATAGGGTATTTGGTGGTTGTCCTTAAGGTCTCTGAATAGGGTGTAACATTGGTTGGGCTGAAAATGGCATATTTGCTGTTCTATGAGCCCTAATGCAAGCCTGGTTAAAAGCCCTAGAATGAAACAACAGGTTTCTTCCTTTTATGGTATGCTCATGAATATCTAGATGAGCTGCGCACTGATTGGTTGGTTTACAACCAATCAGTGAGCAAAGACGCGTTATAGCAACAAGCACTCAATCATTGAAACATCAAATTGTTGATATGGTAGCGTGACCAGACGTCCTGTTTTTCCCGGACATGTCCTACTTTTCATACAAAAAAAATTTTCTTAGGGGAATTTCAAAATCGTCTAAGATTTTGGTCGACAACAGTGCAGCGGGACCGAGCCGTGAGCTCCAGGGCTGGTCCGGGAACTCAGGGGCAGGGAGCCAGCGGGGGACAGAGCGACCGAACCCGACCCCGTGCTTCTCCGCGCCTGTGTAAGCAGCACCCAGCATACCCACCGCCCACCTGAGGACGAGTGGCTCATGGCTATCTGCTAAGGTCCGGTCCAGTCTGCAGCCCAGCAGTCGACACTTCATACCCACCCCCCCTTGGGTGTGACAGAAATACAGGCCAGAACCAAATAAGGCAACATCCCAGAGTTTACGTCAATTCGGGGCTTTGTTTGTATTCGCCCGTTTTATGGTGGAAGTTTAGAATTGTAAGATTTGCAGAGAAAGGAGGTGTCGATGGGGTTTGACCTTCCCTGTACGTCCATTTCACCCACTGAACTATCGTTATTCATCTATGACAATGGAAACTCGGTTTTGCATTCTATGACCCCTCCAAGTGTCCCCACAGCATTACCAGCTGTCTGATTTTTTCCTCTGTTTTTGTGAGGCAACAGGCAGATTCGTCATACTGCACCCAACAGCTGTGTTTTTATGGAGCTTTGATAATGCATAAAACGGCTCTCTTTAGCACTCTGTTGACTTCTGAATGCAGCTGGCTGCACCCAAGTTATCAATGGGTAGTAATAGGAAAATAAAACAAATTACTTTCTTTTTACTTGCATCTTTTTTTTCTACTTCACAGACATTTTGTAATTGTCTACGACACACAATGATAAAATTAAAGACATTAAAACGTGTTTTTGTTTGACATTTTGACTAGCTCAAGTAGCGCATTGAAGTAGCTCAATGTGTTGGTCATGCTTGTGAAAACTGCTATAATTATCATTGATATTTAATTTTTTATCTAAAGTATGATTCACATTGATAGCTTTTTGTGTTTTTTTTTTTATACTAACTGTTGGAAGTGCAAACGAACAATGTCATGAGATAAGCAGACTTACTCAAGTTCTGTGAGAGAAGCCATGTGTGGGAGGACAGCTGCTAAACTCTCTGCCCCTTCATCAGAAATCACATTACTGTAGAGACTGCAGACCACAAAGATGGAAGTGAGATTCTGTGGTACTTAAACAAGACAGCATTTATAGATGTTTGGGTATGTTTTTCCATGATGCACAGTACAGACCTTAAACAGTGCAGTTTGGGCAGGTCCTTCAAAACGACGGCTAGTTTCTTCAAGCCTTGGTCTCCGATGCAGTTCTCGGACAAACTGGAACCAAACAGCTTGTTTAGTTTAAAACATTTAAAAGGAAATAGGGGAGTAAAAAAGAAGAAAGGGACAAACATGGACTCACTTTAGTATCTCCAGAGAGTGAAGCGAGACTAATGCATTTGCCAGTTTCTCTGCTCCTTTGTCTCCAATCTTACTGTTTTCCAAACTGTTGGACGTTTCAAAAAGAGATCATAAGAACAGTTTTTAATATTAGGAGACATATTTAAATACAGAGATACTTACTCCAAGTGCTGAAGGTTATGTAGACCAGGAAGAAGGTCCCACAGCTTAGGAAGAGCTAAGGGTCCATTTTCTGGGCCAAGCCTTTAAGGAGAGTAAATGTTATCATCATCAATGGAAATCAAATCTGCTTATGTTTTGGTATTAATTTAATAAGCTACTCACTCAAATTCAAGCTTGTATAGCTCTTTAACAGCTGGTACCCCCTCTGCCAGGACGGAAACTGACTGGTTGGAGCTGTAGGTATGTATGAAACATTATAATTCAGCAAACATTGAATATTTAAATAGTGCCTCGACCTCAATGTGCACGTTTTAAAACCTACCTGTCTGAGAGCCTCCTGCGGGTATGGATGCTGACAAGCTTCTCTAGATGCTCTATATGGCAGACTTGTGTGGCTTTCAGTGGATGGATCTTGAATTTGGACACAGCTCCTTGCAGGAGAGCTTCCTCAGCATCCGTCTCTAGCTCCTCCCAGAGGGTGATGACGTCTGCTATGCAAGCCCTATAGGGAACACAACACGGACACATGCTCTGTTATCCATATGAATAAGTTTGTTTTTCTTTGACAGCACAGTAAAAACATAGTTACTGTAAATTATAATCCAAATCAAAAGAGAAAGAGCTATTGTCAAAGTTTAAACCTACTTTACAAATCTGCAAGATAATGATTTAATATATAAAAAAGTGAAGAGTAAACTGTAAAAGATGAAATATTATTTTATTCTGACATAATCTATCCATCAATATTTTTTTTATGTTTATTCCTTAAAATCAACCAAGCTGAGGGTTTGTTCACCTTAAGTTTCTGTTCAACAATTTTAGGGACTCAAACAAGATGCACCAGACCAAGTAAGAAGTAGTTTACAAACTCAACATGGACAAGATACAGCTGTCTAACAGTATAAGAGTGCAACTTTAACTTGACCCAACACAAAATAGTTAAACATTTCATATCTGTAAAGATTCTCAGTCATACACCTCATGGTCAAAGTTGAAAATTCCAGTTTAGGCAACATTTCCCAAAGCTGCAGTGATCATACAGTCAGGGGCCCCATATGGGGAGTAAAGTTAGGACGATTCGATGGGCCCCTGACTGACCTCTATATTTTTCAAATATAAAAAGAAAATCTAGCAATGAAATAAAAAAATCTTCATGTCCTCCCTAATATTTTTAGCAGTAAAAAGTGAAACACAGCATGAATATAAAAATATATAAATTTTTGGTCCTTGAGTTGAGGGCCAAATATCAATGTCTTTAATGGGGCCCCACATTCCTGGCAGCCCCCCTGCATACAGTAAACCTTGAAACTTGAAAACCATGTTGTTAAAGACAGTAAACATCCATATTTAACAGCAGTAGCTCTGACTTCAAACCCCTGGACTCCAATCTAAACATTCACCTCAAGGCTCAGAGATGATCTGTATTTTTTAGGACTCCATTCATAAAACAGACCTCGATTCCTCCAACAAGACAGAGAATTTTTGGTGACAGGTGGCTTTTGACAACATCTGCCAGACTAGAATAACCATCTTCTTTCTAACTTATGTTTTCCTGACATCTTTTTTAAAACATTATTAACCTATTCAGCATTTCGCACCAGCTACAACACACAGCTTACTACTATATCTCTACAAAACAAGAAAAACTCAATGAAGACACACAACAATGTAACTCATTTAACTCATATTAGTGAAAATGATCCTATTAGATCAGACACAGAGAGCTTTTTCTTTTTTCCCAGGGGGTTAAAGAAATACAAAAGTTAACACAGGATTCACAGTAGGTCTGATGTAGCCTCAATTCCTAAAGGGAGTCATATGTTTTACTAATTAACATAAAGAGACTTTTCCTTAATTCGGACCTTATAATCCAATATCTTGTATGTAAAACGCTGTGTGCAGTGTTAATGTAGCAGCAGCAGTTAGTACCAATTAAACATCTTAACATCACTTTAGCAGACCGTTTAATGAACATGCTGCTACATAAGATTATTAGCTTATTAGTAGAAGTTAGAAAGCTCAGTTGCTTAACATTTTAATTAGCAAATTCCAAATATTCTTTAGAATTAAACATGGAATATGGGTACGTCGGATTTCATACAATTCTGAAGTGTTACATTAACAGGTGACTCAAACATAACTTGTGTAACTTTGAACAATCTTTGAGAATTAAACTCCATATGCAGCTACAGCACACATTTTTTGTGATGAAATTATAAATTATTATTAGAAACACATTATAATAGATAAAAATACCATTTTGTGATAATCTAATAGCTGTGATAATGACTTATGATTATAACTATTTCCAAAATTATTTCATCCTTTTACTTTCTCTCTTCTTATAAACTTACAAAACGTTAAAGAAGATGATGACTAAGAGGAGGTGTTAAAATTCTTTAAAAAAATAGGAGCTTTAACTGTTTTGAGAGAATCTCTAACCTCCCTCTCCTGTTGTTGTTTGCCTTTTTAAATTAGAATCTAAAAGTGTTAACATTATTGCCACCTACTGGCAGGTTGTAGATGTTACATCACTTTAAATCAGATTTTGTTAGTACACACTAGAAGCACACCCTTGAAAGAATATTTAGATCAATTTCTGAAAATAAACAAAAAACAAACAAAAAATAAAATAAGAAAAAAGACAAACACATGCATGAACAACTACACCTTAAATCTGTTTGTTCTCATTAGGCATTCCTCACTAGATAATATTTTTTTAATCAGCTAACTGAAACCAAATCCTCTCCGTGACACAAAGTTTAAAAACATATGGTATTAAAGACAATAAAAATTTCATTTTTACCATTAAAAATGTGGGATGGATTTATTTTTACCTGTATGTATTGATGTTGCTGAGGCCCACCAAAGATTTAAGTCCACAGATCTTTATCCCAGAGTCCTCCAGATCCAAACGAAAACCCCTGCCCTCAGCTCCGGCCTTGCTGAGGATGCTCTGTACTGTAAACACATCGGGCGGATTCAGGGGAACACCCCGAAATGTAACAAATTCAGGAAGATGTGCAGCTAGATGATCCAGGACTTTCCCACCAGCGTCCGTGCCACTGTCTTTGTGTGTGAAACTTGCTTCATAGACATAGTTGCAAACCTCCAGGATCTGAGCTGAACTCAGGTCCCCGAAGGATAGACCTTCTAGGTGTTTCATCACCAAAGCCTGTTTGCTGGGAACCATGTCCCTGAATATAATGTCAGAGCATGAATGAAGCCTCTTGAGCTCTGTCCTGTTGTGGAAAAGGAGGCCCACTGCGAAGCGCTGGGTGAGCTCTAGCTCCTCCCTCTGAGGTTTCCGTCTGCCTTTTCCCCCTGTATGGAAAGGCAGGGTCTGGACAAAGGTGCGGTCTGTCACAGTCCTGGTGAGAGAAAAGCATCGGAGTAGGTGAGGGAAAAGTGCATGTGACAGATCTCATATTATCTAAGGTGAAAAGACGGATTATTTGCTCTAAGCGGAGATGCCTGTTTTTTCGAATATCAAGTTTTAGTTACCTTGACAAAGACAGATGGACAGCAGCCATGTAACTCTGAAGAAAGGGATTGGCCCACAACAGGAGGCTGTCTTCATCCACATCAAAGGTCTTTCCTTCTTTGCTTTTGCTCTCTTCATCCTGTACTTTTTCCATCCCACTGTTATCTCCTCCCCCACCTCCCCCGACGCTCTCTGTTTGGAAAGTTGTCCTTGTCGTTAGGGACTGAGAAAGCAGCAGACCTGTCCTCAAGCCAAACTCTCTGACTTTGTGGGAAACACCCCGTCCCCTTGGAACTGTGGTCGAGTTCGATTTGATCCCCTCCCAAGCTAGAGAGCTTAGCTGAGACAACAATTCTCCTCCCTGTGAGCTGTTAGTGTCCTTGCAAACATTCTCCTCATCATTTTTCTCCTGTCCTTTCCTCCTCCTCGCTCTTTGACTCCGTGAAGCATTGTGCGTTACACCTCGGGTTCTAGTGTGTTTTTTCCTCTCCCCCCTCCTTCCCTGAGAACTGTTTGAGATTTCACTCAGAGGTTCCTCTACATGTGCAGCATTATTTTGTTTCTCTGGCTCAGCAGGCGACTCTGTGCTTCCTCTGACTTTTTCCAATTTCAAACTGAGCACCTCATGACAGAGTGCAGTTAAAGTTCTCGGTAAGGCCTCTGAACCTTTGCCATGCTCTAAAACAGTGCACACTAAATGGCAGAGTGCAGGGTTCCAGCAGAGGAGCTTCAAGTAGCTGCAGCTTTTTAAGAGGTCCAAAGCAGACGCTCGAAGTTCAGTATCAGAGAAGTACTGAGACACGTACGTCTCCACATTTTCTGGAGTGAACCCACAGACTTCCAGAAAGCTGTCTGCGCGCCGTAGCAGCTGGTTGGCTGTGCCTCTTGGGCGGGTGGCGAGGAGGAGCGTGCATCCCGGGAGCAGGACCCTCTGAAGGATTCCTGAGAACAGCTGCTTCACCGTAAAGGCCTGAGCCTTACTGTCTTTTTGCAGCGCAGCTACCAATTCCTTCTCTTGCGTCTGCAGCAGCATTTCATAGTCCCGCAGCTCATCAAACCCATCAAAAACAACAAGAACCCGTTTAGGAGCTGAGAGGATCTGAGCGTACACTCCTTCGGGGTCAGTGCAGGGGGGAGCGAAGGAGGACTGGTTAAGCAGCAGCGTCTGGAGACTGTGGACAGGCTCTGTTAAATTCAGCTGTTTGCCGTCTAGTAAAAAGACAAAGTCGAACTGAGGGATCAAGTCTTTGGACCAGTCCAAACACAGCTTCTTAATCAGAGTTGTTTTCCCCATGCCAGCATTGCCGAATAGCAAATTGTAACGTTTACCGTTTAGGCTGTCAAAGATCTGGAAAAGAAAGAAAAACACATTCACTCAACAGCAGGAATAAGCCAGAACATTAAGCTGAAGGTGTTTTTTCTTGATTAACCTTGTTATATAGCTTTCTGTATGGGGAGTTACCTCAAAGGGTAAGTACTGAGAAAAGATATCTTGCAGCTGCCTATGCAACAAAAGGGATGCTGAAGTTCCCATGTTTCTCCTTAGGGAGTAAGTGAATTGTACGGCCTAAATTAGTGTAAAGCTAACTTTTTCCGTTCAGTTTAACTACATTTCATAACAATAGATTCCACAAACATATACCAACCTTGTTGGTACAGAATTGAAGGTTTATGTGGGTTTAGTAGCTTTAGGAGCTCAAAGTCGTGGTAAACGCTGGCTTATTGTCACTGTAAATGTCAGCTTACAGACACCACTTCACTTTGGATACCATGTGTTGTCGAGGCTTTTTGACACACTGCAGCTACCATTGTCGCAATACGTGTTTTAGGCATTTACACTCTAGATTTTAATGTTTGTTTGCATGAAATACCCTCAATTCACCTCTAGATGGCAGTAATTCTTACACAATATCCCTTTAATGAGAGAAAAAGCCAATAACTTCATTTCTCTTAAATTAAGTTCTTTTCCAATAATTGGGATTTAATCTTATTTTTTTTTCAGATTAAACAGCTGAATGCATTTTTTACTACGCTGGTATTTTACCATTTTACCTGTGAGCTGGTCTACTAAAGAAACACTCTTACCTGACTTTGCCCCACTGAGCTTTTTTGACGATCTATATCTCCAGTGATGATGAGCTCCTTATCCAGACACCTGTTTGTGTTTTTCCCAGCGCGAACAATCTCTCTCTGGCTCACACTCACATCCACATAATGGGTTGTCAGCTGTAGGCCTGCCTCCATATCCAGGCATTTTTGACTCATGTGTGTTTTAGATTGCTGGATATAGTCTTTCACAGTCTCTATAGAACAAAAATGAGTTTAGGTAAATGCTGGTTTATTCCTTGAGCCATATGACCTTGTAGAAAGCAAAAAGGGGAAGATGCAGAAGTGGGAAAAGACTTACGGGGGATTTCAACAACTGTGGGAGACTTAGGTGGCTCCTTACAAGGGGACAAATCTGAAATGCAAGAAGTTATGTTATTTACATGATAGTAGGTACCTGCATAGACTAGGAAGCGAGAAAGACACTGAAGCTTACCGTTCGTGGGTGATGGAGATGGTGCAGTAGTGGGGGACATGGCTTTGCATGCCTTATCTGACTTGGATCCTGGCTGAAATGAACTCACCAGAACAGGTGCCACTGTTCCATCAACTAAAAAAACACAAGAGAAAGAACACTTAAACTAAGACAGCCAACAGACAGATGAAGATCTGGACATGTGCACGTTAAGGTCTTAGCTCCTCTAGATCGAATATGAAACTGCTTACCTGGGGAGAGGGGTGGAAGTTGGCGTTTGCAGGGCGGAGAAGGTGCTGGAACTGAGTAATAAATAAGATTAGAGAAAACAGTGCTGAGTTAAATAAAAAGTTACCCAACAACATTTTTTCACATCAAGAGATGTAAACACAAGTGAGAATAAAGATTACAAGATAAAGCGCAAACAGCAATACTATACATTATTTCAAAGACTTCTAGAATAACAAATTAGAATGTGATCTCTGATACAATATTATACAATGAACTAGCTATAAAGTCAGGATTATTAATATTTCAATAGAGAGGCTTTAACAGAAGGAAGTTGATATTCCTCCAACAATTTCCAGCTAATAAGACTTGTTTTACGATACCTTCATTACAGCTTTTCAATGGAAATGTATTTGATATATTTTCCTTACATCTGTTCAAGTATCTGTAATCTAAAGATGCAGTAAAAGAAGTTTATTGCGCCGCCTATTTTTTATTGAAGTAAAACTATAATGTAAACAAAAATGTCAAGCTGTGCTAATATGAAACAGCAATGCTTTTGTAGTATTTTTTTGCACAAAGCATTAGGGAATTTTTTTTTTTTTACATAACCGGAACAATTTGGCATCTTTACTTCAAACTTCCACCCAGCTGTAACTGTTTAGTGTAATGTAAACATTTCGAGATGTGAAGTTAACATAGCTAGTAAAATATTAATGGCATTTCAAGCATTTAAGTTAGGTAGATATTCAGTTCATTTCAAAGCTACGTTATTGATCCCAAAACGACACTTAAAAAGACATAACAATCAGTCACAGTTTGACCAAGGCCAAACATTTTGTTAAATTACATCCACAAACTCCTATCTAGTAACTGGGCTTTGATGTTGTAGCTCAACACAAACTATTACATAACTGTGTACCACATGGGGAAAAAAGCATTGATTAATTTTGGATTTCGTCTAATTTAAAATCTGAAAAGTGTGCCATGCATTTATTTTTATTTGTGCCTATTTTTCTTGCTGTAACTCGTAACTTTACCCTTCAGTGTTAATACATCAGATTTAAAGTTATCCCACGGGAATATATCTGTGTATTTAGGGTAATTGGCAAGCCTGTTGAATTTCTTCCAGGACTGCTCTGTATTTAGATCGACCAGTCATATCTACCTCTATCTCATACATTATGTTTAGAAGCACTCCCACAGCATGATACTGCCATCACCATGTTTAACAATGTGAATGGTGATTTTAGGTAGACTTGCATTGTCAGTTTTCTACCACACTTAGTATGTTGTATGAAACTAGCAAAGTTCAACCTTTGACAATTTGCATCCTGTTTTCTGATTGCACCATGAATCTACAGTAGGTCTTATCATCATTATTCCACCTCAGCTGTGGATCTTCACAGCTTCTCCAGAGTTACCGTGCGGCCAATTAGCTGCTTCTCTGATCAACACAATACTGCCTATAAAGACATATTAGAGCACGTCTTGGTAAGTTGTGCTTTTGGGATGATGGACTGTAGTGTATTCAGTATGATTTGGCATCTTTAAACATCTTCATAAAGAGGATCCCTAACCAGTAAGCTTTATTCCATTGTCTCCATGACGCTTTTCACTGTTTAATGTTCTCTAATAACCTCTGATGCCTTACAGACAGGAAATCTAGCTAAATCTAGGTTGAGCTATATTTCCTGCTAAACAGGTAACTTCTGATAACTGTGGTTTCCGTTGTGTGAGAAAATTTTTGAATGCTATGAATAATTTGAGAATGTGCTGTACTGCATTTGGCCGGTAGGCTTAATAATATCGCTCTATTTGTGACAAGTTGAGAAATTCTGCCACCTAATCAAAATTGGGTTAGATACATTTTTACTAGCATAAATTCCAAAATGGGAAATAATCCAGGCTTCTGCTCTTTTGATTGACCACCTCAGTAATATAGTCCTTGCTTACAATGAAAACAAAATAAAAGGCAAATACACAGGACAGATAAACAGCATCATATCATATCTACAGATCACTTATAAAAACGAGAAAGCATTCACAGAACGCAGACCTCTGCCAAGTAGCTGATTTCCCCCAACATATCCACCTTAAGGTAAGACCAGTTTTCTCGGAATCTTTAAAAAAATTCCTGGATCTAAATGTTGATCCGGATCATGACCAACATTTAGTAATTTTTTGTCACAATGCACATTGCACACCTTCGCTGAAAACTCTGTCCCTAATTTATTTAGTTATTTTGAAAACAGACAAACCGACAAATGCCTGAAAACAGGACCGTGAGGCAGACACCCATGTCGACATTTAAAGCTAAGCTTAAAACTTTCCTTTTTGATAAAGCTTACAGTTAGAGTGGCACAGGTTGTCCTGAGCTATCTCTATAGTTATGCTGCTATAGGCTTAGACTGCTGGAGGACATAGGGACCACCATTTCATTATTCTGATTCATTCTATCTCTATTCTCCCACTCTGGAGAATCTGTTAGTTCAATCTCTAACGTTATGCTCTCTCTGCTTTTTCTCATAATAGCCTTGCCTCATCTGTTCCTGTTTGGCTGCGAATCGAACCCAGAACCTCTGTATGATCTGGTGAACTGTAAAGTGCCTTGAGATGACATGTGTTGTGAATTGGCACTATATAAATAAACTGAAGTGAATTTTATTTAATTAAATTAATCTACTCACCAAAGATGTATGTGGGCATAGCAGCTGAATTGGGGAGTGGGAGTCTAATGATTGGAGGAGGAGAGGAGGACAGCTGGACCACCTTATAAGCAGATGAATCTTGGAATGGGATGAATTGAAATGGGATGGAATTGGCTGACTGGGGGCGAAACACGTGGAAAATTCCTGGCTGGGGGGTGGAGAGGCCTCCTATAGGCTCTGCTGGAACTGGTACTGCTTCAGCATCGGTACCTGCAAAGCAACAGCAGGGAACATTTTTATTATTTTCTGCCCACAAGTTAGATCTACTTAAAAAAAAATCCAAGTTGGAGTGAAGGAAATATTTACACAAAGTAAAAAAAAACCCCCCAAAAATAAAAAAATGCAGATGAGCTGCACTACCAATGCATGTGTTGCTGACAAGTACAGCTACCAAAATAATGTAGAGGAAGTTAAACTTGGTGAGAGTTCTTCTTTTGATTTATCACAACTAACATCAAGAAAATCACACTTCCTGTTTCTAAGCCAGCAGGACCAAGTCAAACATGACCAACCACAATCCCTTTTATTCTTTCATATCTGATAAACAACATGCACCTGCTATGTAAAATGGTATTGTTTTCGATATGCATGTAAAATACCTAAAGATCTGATAGCTTTAAATGCATATTTGATAAACTTGTTTTAGAAATGTTTTCTGTTTAGCGTAAATTTGTGTTGTTCCTTTAAACATTGCATTAATTTCTAACGCAAGAACCTCACCATGAATGAGAGATGGCTCAGCAGTTGCCTCTTGGGGTTGAGGTGAATCTGTTAAAAAACAACAACAACAAAACTGAGTCGGCGGGAGACTCAACAAAATCTACTTATACTTTCAATTAGCAATGTTTAATAGGGCTGGGTACTTTCGCCAAAGCCCTGAATTGATTCGATTTTGATTTATACAGTTCTAAATCGATATATTTCGAGTCTGTTTATACAACAATGAAAGTAGTTCAACTGTGTTTCAAAATACTCATGAATCTTATTTTTTCCTGTCATATAAAACACAAAGTGCAAACTTGTAAATCAGACAGTTTAAACTTGAGATGTAAACAAAACTGTTTCAAAAGTGCAAACTTGTTTCTGAAAAGTGAAAAACTGAAGCCTCACTCGAGCAAACAGATGACACAGCGGGGACACAGCAGACATGCATGAACTGCTTTATCTTCAATGCACAAACCATATTTGCATCGTTGTCTGTAACAACTACAGGGTATTTACTGGTCAGCCCCCATTTGTTAATGTCTTCAGTCAATCTATTGGTCGTATTTGCAGCCGTCTGGCTTGAAGTCATCTTGAGTGCATCTTTCCTGCTCATTTGAATGTGAACATCACACACGTCACTATAAAACTAATCGATCTCATTCCCTAGACATTGATTTTGCAAAAATGTAAAGGAATCGATTTTTTTACCCAGCCCTAATGTTTAACCGTGTTCTAGTTGTCATGATACCTAAAACCTGGTAGTTATAGTGCAGTAATACTAATAGTGCGTTAGTAATTTACATCAAATGCACTCTACTGCTATTAAAGAAGCTGGATTTTTGCTTAAAGCAGAAAATACTTTAAATAAAAATCTATTAGAGATAGTAACAAAAGATCAACTTTGAACCGGAGCAGACATTAGCAAATCAGGGAAAAGTACCACAGCCTATATTATATGTTGATCTATAATTTTGATCAGACTCAACCACTGGAAATAGAGCATATCTATATGGTTTTCTAAACCCTAAAAAGTATGTGTCTCTACTGTACACACATTTCAATTGGTGACGGTATCAGTCCCTCTCATCGGCTTAAGTCTCAAACAATAATGTTCAAACCCACAACAAAGCCCAAAAGCACACAAACAGTCCATCATCAAAACTTTTGCACTGACTTACAATTTAAAGATATAAAACTCCACAATCATGGACCAGAGGGCACATACTGTTTTCTCTGACATGGAAGCAGGAACAAGTACAAGGTGGTTAGAGTCAGGGAATTTCACTTCTAACAAGAAGTAAAGTGGGGCACTCCAGCTAGTTGGACACTATGCAGAAAAATAATTATGTCCACAGGATGTAAAGAAGAATCCTCCATAAGGTCTTCAAGAACAGAATAACATGATTGTGCTATAGGAGCTAAAGGTAAGATAAATTGTTTTGTTTTTTTCAGTAAGTATCCATCCCCCTCCAGTGGAGTCTGACCTGTCTGCCATGAGGCTGATTTATGCAACCGCTGGCACCAATCAACATAACTTCATTAACTTTTTATGATCAAGAAAAACTTAAAACAGTCTCTTGCAAAAGTTTCTATTGTCTGCTTTTATAGTTATCTCCTGTAAGTGTTAACCTCTCCTGTTTGACTTCTTACAAAACAGCTGAAAGCAGTTAACTACAGTAGCAAATGGCCAGAAATTTTTCACTTTCATAATTTAAGATTAAAAGTAAGTTATTTATGTGGGTTTAAGTTTTGCTTTAACAAAGAAAACTGTCCACTGGGATGGGTTTTTGATATTAGCAAGATATAAACTATCAAGGTGACAAATCTTTAAAGAGGTTTTATTGTCTGTGTTATTAGTTTAAATAGAGGGTAGCTATAGCATCTTTATAAGCTTAAAGAAAACCTTTGAGTTTCATATTTTGAATTTACTGGACCTGTTGTCAAACGGTTACAACTGGCAAATGTAAACTCCTGTGCAAAAAAGTGAATTCCTGCAAACAAACAAGCTGTAGATAAGAATAATGCGCTTATTCAATGGTAGTAAAAAAGCAAGTTTTGTCGTACTTTGTATTCAACATATTGGTCTGTATAGTGTTTTTAGGAAAACTTGGCATCACCTAAGTTCAGCGGTGGGCAATTCCATTTCCTGCAACTTTTACATCCACCCTTGGTCCTACACACCCGAATTAAATGGCTGAGTAACATCCTCAGGATGCAGTCAGTTCCTCCAGAGTCCTCTCAATNAAGAAAAAAGCTCTGATGCATTTAAAAGTGTTTATTTTCTTGCAAAAGGATTTAGAGCCCCAGAAACTGTCAACTGGAAGAAAAGTGAATTCATCATGTTATTGTAAATATAACAGCAAATAATCACAATTTGCTGATAATAGAAAGATAAATCCACTGTTGTTTGCCACCATTCAGTCTCAACGATAGTTGTTGATCATTGTTAATGATTTTTAAACTTAATAACTGACTAGAAAAGAGTCCAATAACTTATGATGGTATGGTGAGTCAAAAGGCAAACACTGGTTAAAAGATAATGAAAAAATGTGAACATCTGATGATCTGAGGTGGACATTTAGCTTGTTATCAATGGTGACAAATTCTTGGATATATAATAATTTGAACCTTGGAATGTTATTACAGGCTATAAAGATAACTAATTCAAAAACATGATGACAGACGTTGGGTGTCAGCATGTGCATGAAGAGACTCTTTTTATAAACATGCTGCATATTATTAGTGATATTTTCACACGGCCAGACAGACAGAACACAACAGGAAGACTAAATTTCTCACCTATTGCTTTTTGCCTTTTCACTCTGGAGTTGCTGTTGCACTGTTTAGACATGACATCTGGAAGAGACAAATGAAATTTGTGAATGAGCAATTACTATTAAACATGCAGCACAGGACAACCTTAAGCTCCATTAACCTCTCTGTCTTTTCCTTTTAGGTTTAGTTTTTGTCTTGCTCTGTCTTCCCTGCTCTTTGTGGTTAGCAAGAGGGGGGGCCTCCATCGCCATAGACGCCTCACCTGCAAAGCACAGAAGAGGAAGTGTAAAAAGCAGTGACGCGGAGAGCAGGCAGTAAATAACTGTTTTTTTCATGCTTTTTTCAGTAGGGATCTTAAGAGCATGGCTAAGAAGTGCATCATTTCTAAAGAAATGGGAAGATTCAAAACAGGAATTGGCAAAGAATGTTAAACTGTGGCCAGAAACGTAAGTGAAAGATGCTAAAAAAAAACAAACCATCAAAAATAATTTATGTGTACGATGAAAGGCCACATGGCAGTGTCCATAGATATATGAAAACTGGTAATGCTGTATTTTACAGTACCTCATTTAACCATGTAATAACAAGGTAATAACATAGCAAGTTACACTATATTACAAGGTAATAAGAAAAACTTTATGGAGAATTTTACTAAGTGCTGTGCTTCAAATTTTAGGCGGAGAAGGTAAAGTCAGGCTTCAAACCGCTATTACCAGGTAATTCATATTCATTTCGCAAACAGTAATAAATGATGGTAAATGGCCTGTACTTATATAGCGCTTTTTTCAAGTCACAAGAGTTGACCAAAGCGCTTTACACTACATTCAGTCATTCACCCATTCATGCACACACTCACACACTGAGTGTGATATCTGTTAAAATTCAGGTTATTACTTGGTATATAACAGAAAACCAAACCTAGAAGACGGCAAGCCAATCTTCTTAACTGAACTTAATTTCAGTTTTATATTTGAAGGTGGTCGCTAATAATAGAAAATGTTATGTGGTAACCTAAAGCTAATTATAATGTTACATAGTCACATACATGTGTAATAATAACATGCAGTTCAGTATTTTAAAATCATATACTTTAGTCTTGGGGTAATTACCCAAAAAGTTTTTCTTGTAACCAAGTACTATAGTGCGATTTGTTATGTTATTACCATGTTATTACATGGTTACTGATGTACCGTAAAAGAAAGCCTTACCTGAAAATTAATACAAATGGTAGTACTGGCTTAATTCAGTACATGGAACGCAATCACTACATTTAGTAACTGTAAAATTGAATAGAATAGAATAAAATAGAATAGAACAGATTTCCCTGTCCCACAATGGGGAAATTCTGGTGTTACAGCAGCAAAAAAAGATTATAGAAAAAATGGAAACACAAATATAGACCTTAGAAAAATGTATAACAATAGTGAAGATAGTGATAATAATGAATAGTTAAAAGATAAACAATAAAATACTGTACTGAAAAGTGTTACAATATAAAAACTGTGCACCTGGAAAATATATAACCAATATACAGCTATGGACATTTTTACAGTAATGGATATTTG